AAAAGTTCTCAGCTATTGAGTGGTATCCCATATTTTGCATGCTAAATATCTGTAGTTCTCTGCACATTTTGGAAGTAGGGTGACCCACATATAAGAACCCGATGGTTGTATCTTACTCATTTTTTTAAGATTTATTTATTTACTCATACAAGAATTGAGGACAGGCCAGAAGTGTGGGGACTGAGAGGATTTACCAGAGACAGAATGGGGATCAGAACAGATAGATTGAGGGGAGCAGCAGGTATGTCAGGAGAGGTCTGCCACACCATATGGATCACCTCCCTGGCAGGGGATCAAACTCATGCTTCAGTGGCTGCATAGAGCTTACTAGTGCTGTACTTTAGCCCAATGTACAATCAGTTGGGCTCTCTTACTCATTTTTGATCATTCAGTATCATTAGGCATTCTATCAAGCACTTTTACATCTTATTAAATGGACCCCATGTCCAACATAAATCATCATGATCTTTAAATTTTTAGGATTTATTTATTTGTGCATGCAGAACTGGGGTACAGGCCAGAGGCACAGGGGCAGCGAGAGGCTTCACCAGACACAGAGTGGGGAGCAGAACAGAGAGGTGGACGAAGTACACTGCTGAGGGGAGCAGCGGGCAGGTCAAGAGAGGTCTGCCGCGCCATGTGGTCACCTCCCCGGCAGGCAGGAATCGAACTCACGAGGAAGTAGCTTCAGCTTCTCAGTGCTGTGCTTTAACCCGCTGCGCCACCAGGGAGGGCCCCCATGATCTTTAAATTTTTAGGACATAGTCAGCTCCAAGACAGAATTAAATTGTCTATAATTTCTTCCAAATGATTGGTCACTGTCATTACATACTGGATTTGGAGAAAGATATATGTGTTAGTTAAAATTTTGTATAATGTTAAAAGATTTGTCTTCAAGCACCAAATAAAACAGACTGGAAAAAAATACAAAAACAAATGTTCACAATATAATACTTACCTTAAAGTAACTTACCTTTTTTTGCCATGAAACTATAAATTATAACTAAATAATAATGTTCTCTTTGATTTTGGTGAAATCTCTATATGTAATCACTAGAAATGCATAGATAACGGATGTAGAAGTATAGTGTTCAAAATAAATTACTGTACAGAAATAAAATATACCAGGTTAGGGGAGTCACATTTTAATATTTATTAAATATGTGATATGTGGAATAGTACTTAAATTTCAATGCCTATATTTCCTCACTTAACGAACAGGAATCAAAAGTGCTTGCATCGTGTGTTTCTTAACGAATCCAAATCTTAAAAATTATCTACACAACTTGCTTAGTATGGAAACTAGCACATACTAAATCTCTATGAAATAACATCTCTCAGTATGGTAAACTCACTCAATTCTTAGTGACTTTCAATGTAACCATCAATAAGCTTAACTTTCTCTTCATGCATTACTAAAAAAGAATAAACTACAATTTATTGAAAGCATGATGTGTTTGAAGAGTAGGTCTTTGTTTACTGGTGTTTTAAGTTTGTACATTTCCTCAGCCACCTTTCAAAGGCTCCTTTGACTTCACTGTTCCTCAGACTATAGATGAGGGGGTTCAGCACAGGGGTAAAGATGGTATAAAATGCGGACACAATCTTGTCGTGGTTCGCTGAGCGGTAGGATTTGGGTCTCATGTAGATAAAAATAGTAGCTCCATAAAAGAGTCCCACCACCGCCAAATGCGAGGAGCAGGTGGCAAAGGCCTTTTTACGTGCATCTGTGGAATTCATCTGGAGAACAGCAGCGAGGATGAGACCATAGGATGTCAGGATGAGAGAAAATGGAATCAGGAGCATTAACACACAGCAGATGTACATGACCTTTTCAAAGACTGATGTGTCAGCACAAGCTAAACGTACCAGCATGGGGGCTTCACAGAAGAAATGATCAATCTCACGAGCACTGCAGTATGGGAAGCTTAGTGTAGCAGCGGCCTGCATGAGTCCATCTGCTGCCCCCAGGAGCCATGATCCCAATGTCATTTGCAAACATAATCGCCAGTTCATGAGGATGGGATATCTCAGCGGGTGGCAAACAGCCACGTAGCGATCATAGGACATGGCTGCTAAAAGGAAACTCTCTCCACCACCTAGGGTGAGTGAGACAAAGATTTGCAGTCCACAGCCTGCAGGCGAGATGGCTTTCTTGCCAGTGACATAGTCAGCAGCCATTTTGGGCACAATGGTGGAAACAAGCATCAGGTCCATAAAGGAGAGCTGACTCAGAAGGAAGTACATAGGTGTGTGGAGACGGGGATCCCTGTGAATCAGGAGAAGCATGAGTGTGTTTCCAGTCAAGGAAGTGATGGTCATTGTTAACACCATCAGGAAGAGAAAGAGGTGGGTTCTCGTGTATTTAAAAAGTCCTAGCAAAATGAAGTCTAATGTTGTGTTTCTCTTCTCCATGTTTTCTGCTGCTGTGACACTGAAAACAAATAGAAAAGGAATATGTCACCTTCTAAAAACCTTTGTTTGACAGCATAACTTTTTGACATAAACTACACAGAGAATCCATGTTCCTGACACTAAGTTCTACTTTCCAAAATGGCTTTTCTTGATCTATCCTCCTACTTTTCTATAGCTAAACATTGTAATCTTTTAACTGAAACCAGACTATATACTTCACACAGAATATACTGATTTTTTTAAAGATAATAGATCAAAAGTATAAAAAACTGTCAAAACTATGTAATTAATAATAACCATATTGTTATTTTATATATTATTCTAATTCCAGTAGTAATAGTATTTTATTTATGTGTAGCAAAGCCACCATTAACCAATTGATAAAAGAAACACTCATTTACAAGTCTTTCTTTTAAATGTTTGACTTACAATTTTATTCAAATTTTGGAAATCAACCATTCATATTAGGTCTTTTTTTAATAAATAAGAATATGCAGTTGTTTCACTATGGGTTACAAGGACCACAGAACAAGTCAGTATAAATAAAATAAAATTACCCATTGAGGGGAGATAAAACTACCCCACTAAATTGATGAAAATATAAAGGAAATCATGAGAGGAATTTTGTTAAGTGCTTGGGAAAATAAATAGTAATAGCAATACCAAGAATAAGGAATAAAATGATTGAAAGGACAATGATGCTATTTTTTAAACAATTTCATTATCATGGAGAATAATTACCAGATACAGGTGATGTATTAAATATATTTGGAATGAAAAAAAAGTTTAATGTATACTAAAAATATCTGAATTAGAAGTTTAATGTGTCTTTTTGAGTTTTTTTTTAAGATTTACTTATTTATGTATACAAGAACTGGGGTACAGGCCAGAGGTGTGTGGAGGGGGTGAAAGTATTTATCAGAGATAGTGGGGAAAAGAACAGGGGGATCTACTAAATACACTTCTGAGGAGAGGGCAAGACAGAAGAGATCTGTTGTGCCATGTGGGTCACCTCCGTGGCCAGAGATCAAACTTGTACTACAGTGACTATGTTTACCATAATAGTGCTGTGATTTAACCCCTTGCACCACAAGGGAGAGTCCTGGAGGTATTTTTTTTAATATTTATCATAATGGATCATTTTATTAGGAAACAGTGTGTTCACAGAAGTGATAAACTAAGGGTATGCAAGTTGTCACTTCTTCCATAGTGAACATCAGCTTGCCATTCTTTAAGAATAAATCTTGTAAATTCATAAAGATCAGAGAAGCACATAGATGTAAGGAGCCAATTCCCTCTTATTAGCAGAAAAAATGCACAAGTGTGCCACTTTTGTACATTTGCAGAAATTCTTATTTCTGACACAGTCTGGAAAAAATTCATTCAAATCTTCAGAGATAGCGTGATCTCTTAGCCTATTGTCTAAAATTTGATCATTGATTGTTGCAGAGACAGAGGCAGGGGTTACAATTTTTAATCAAAAAGCTCTGATTCGGGGTCTTCCTGGTGGCATAGGGCTTAAGTATCAGCATTATCACTGCTATGACTGGAGTGTGGTCCAGAATCAGGTAGCTAACCCACATTGGGTGCACCAGACCTCTCCTGCCTCACCCACTGTTCCCCTTACCAGTGCATTTAAGGAGATCCACCTTTTTTGATTCTACAACTATCCCAATGCTACAAAAAATTTAGACAGGAGGGCTTACCTCTTGCCAAGCCATGTCACGTACATGAAATCTTTTTAATAAACCTCCAGAAACATGGTACCAATGGCTTGTTAAATTTCTACCACCACCATGTGAGCATTCACATTTGTACTAACAAAATACACAGTAATACAAACATCTTCATGAGAACTTAAGGTTTGCATACCAAAAACAAACAATTCATTTTACCTATCTAGGAATCAAAGCATTAGTAACTGTTGTTCATTTGTACTATGCTCTGTTTAATACGTGCAGTCCCATGATTTATATTATATTACTCTTTAAGTTAATTTGAAACAAAAATTTAATGTTAATTTGTCAGTCTAGATCATTTGTTGCTTTTTCATATAACCAACAGCTAATAAATCATAGCACACAAAAATCAATCTTAATCTAAACATTTGATTAAGCCTGTTCACTACCCAGGTCTTCAGCAAAATCCACCACTATGTGGTTTCAAGTTTGAGTCTTTTGTCCTTTGTTTTTGTTTGTTTGTTTGTTTGTTTGTTTTCAATATTTAGTTATTTATGCATACAAGAACTGGAGTGCAGGCCAGAGGTGCAGGAGGTGAATGAATGCGCCAGAGACAGAGTAGAAAACAGAACAGGTGGATTGGCTGAAATACACTACTGAGGGGAGCAGCAGGTGAAAAAGGAGTGGTCACCTCCCTGGCTGGGGATTGAACTCAATTGCAGTAGTGGTGGATAGCTTAATAGTTTTGAAACTTAACCCCTTGTGTTACCAAGGAGGTTCCAGAGTCTCTTGTTCTAATGAACAATTTTTCCTCCCTCAATTTTATGGTATTTGGACCCTCAATAACTGTGTTCAGAGAATTAAGAGATTTTTAAAAAATTACTTTCAGAGGAAATACAGAAACAAGCAAAATAGAGCAGAATTTAGAGAGCTCTTGGATAGCCTAACACAACGACTACAAGATCTGAGGAATGTAGAGAGAAAAGTTGATGTAGACAAATATGAAGATACAAAACAGGAAACTCTGGAGCAACTAAGTGAATTTAATGATTCACTAAAGATAATAATGGCTGGAAATATGATGTATAAATTAGGTTGAATACAGTTGGATCTCCAGGCAGCTATCAGCCATACTTTTAAAATACCAGAAGTCGGGCCCTCCTTGGTGGCACAGCGGATTAAAGCACAGCACTAAGAAGCTAACTCCATTTCAGCATGAGTTCGATCCCCTCCTGCACTGGAGGTGACCCACATGGAGCGGCAGACCTCTCCTGACCCACCCACTGCTCCCCTCAGCAATGTACTTTGTAGATCTGCCTGTTCTGTTCCCCACTCTCTCTCTGGTAAATACTCTCACTGACCCTGCACCTCTGGCCTGTACCCCAGTTCTGCATGCATAAATAAATAAATCTTTAAAAAGAAATACCAGAGGTCATCAGCTTATTTGCAAACAAATAACTAGCTCAGCTTTGGAGAAATCTACCAGAGATGGACAGAGATCTCATGGTAGGAAAACTGGAAAGAGTCAAGTGTGCTCAAAAGAAAGTGGTGATACTAACAACCTCCAGGAAATTTGGCGAGAAGCTGAATGCAGATGACAAGGCTTCTTGTCTACAAATGCAGGTAGTATACTAAACCAGTTTGACAAGGTCTCTACAGAACTTGACTCTGAAGACAATGTTCTTGCTTTAGCAAGTTTTGAAGTCAATAAAAACAGCAAAAAAAAAAGATATGGTGCATTAAAGCTTGAACTTTGATAACATTTTTGTAATAAATGGCATTTTTCTTCTGGGGAGTTGAGTCATTGCAAAGAACCCAAAAAATTTTTGAAGTGCATTAATAATATAGGAGGTGATAGAGGGCCCTCCCTGGTGGCGCAGTGGGTTGAAGCACAGCACTGAGAAGCTGAAGCCACTTTCTCGTGAGTTCAATTCCTACCTGTCCCGGAGGTGACCACATGGCGTGACAGACCTCTCCTGGCCTGCCGGCTGCTCCCCTCAGCAGTGTACTTCATTGATCTGCCTGTTCTGCTCCCCACTCTGTCTCTGGTGAAGCCTCTCACCGCCCCTGAGCCTCTGGCCTGTACCCCAGTTCTGTATGCACAAATAAATAAATCTTTTTAAAAAAAGAAGAGTTGATAGAAAACTTACAGGTGGTTCTGCTCATTCCTTTCATCATCGAGCTGGGGTAGTGGTGCGTGAGTGTCCTGGGCTTGCTGACTGGAGCTGCTCACCAGCCCGCTCTGTGATTCGTCTGTTTAAAAGTGGGAATAGAAAAAAGTTTCTCTTCTTCTTTTTACTAAAGCTACTTGTATTCAGGTGCTTCCACTAGGTGAAATGATACAAACTAATGAGTCTTTTCTGTTCATAATCTCCCTCTACTTAGAATGAGTAGGATAGCACCATCAATAGACCTCATGTGTTCACAGAACTTTAGCATTCTAAGTGGTCATAGAGATATTTGCATTTTACAAACAAGGAAACAAACTCAGAAAAAATAAACAGATTTGATTAAAGTCACCTTAAAGTTATAAGTGGGAATAAGATTCAGATGTCCTACTTCTCAGTTCAGTGTTTATTTAATTTTATTTATTACTTCTGTGCTGTTTAAAAAAAAATGAGCACATGCTCATATAAGTTCATGTTTACAAAAAGTCAATGTCCCAATAAAAATTTACCATTATTGGGGCCATTCTTCAGCACAGAAGATCTCCTTATAAATGGGATCCATTGTGTATCTGAGATTTGAGCCTGGAACAGTGGGATCCCTATTGGAAGTCTATTGAAGTAAATTAACCTCCTCTGTTGTTTCATCTGGAAGTGATTGGAATTGGCAACTAGATACTGTCCTGTATTTGACCTCTTTGCTAAGCAGGAGGATGATATCTTTAAGCTCTATGTAGTCTTAAACTTTTGGAGAAAAAATGAAATAAATTATAAGTAAAAGCAGATTTCTCTACTGAGAGTTCACACCTCTCTCAAATGGATAGATTTGCCCATGTACATGTGTGTGAGGTTATTCCCTAGGCTCTGACCACTTCATTTTATTTCACATATTTTTTCAATACCCCTTTTGTTTGCACCTTATACTTCTTGTATATTGTAAACTCAATTAAATGTTCTGTCAATTGAAAAAAAAAGCATTATCAATGCTTTATTTTAACCCTTAATGGATAATTATATTTTATGTTGTTTAATAATGGCAAAAACTCACATTGAAATTGTGACAAACCAAGAAAAAGTTTATTACAGGCTATTCATCAAGGACATTATGGTCAACTATTATTTTGTAATTTTGTAGGGTTATTTTTTAACTGAAGAA